CTACCTACCTACTTACCTACCTTAATACAGAATATACACAGTATATGTGTATGCATACACACACACATACATATTGTATGTGCACAGTATATGTGTGTGTATTATATTATATCATATCATATTATAGTGATGAATGGCATCCTACTAAGTGATGCTTATTAATTGAACTATTTTCTATTTGTTTTCCTATCTATCTATCTATCTATCTATCTATCTATCTATCTATCTAACTATCTTAATACAGAATATACACATTGTATGTACACAGTATGTGTGTATATACAGTATATGCACAGTATATGTGTGTGTATCATATCATATCATAACATATCTCAGTGATGAATTGCATCCTACTAGGTGATGCTTATTAATTGAACTATTTTCTATTTGTTTTCCTATCTATCTATCTATCTATCTATCTATCTATCTGTCTATCTATCTATCTATCTATCTATCTATGAACCCTATCTATCCACTCTATCTATCTATCTATCTATCTATCTATCTATCTATCTATCTATCTACTATCTATCTATCATCTATCTATCTATCTATCTATCTATCTCTCTATCTATCTATCTATCTATCTATCTATCTATCTACTATCATCTATCTATCTATCTATCTATCTATCTATCTATCTATCTATCTATCTATCTATCTATCTATCTATCTATCTATCTATCTATCTATCATCTATCATCTATCTATCATCTATCTATCTATCTATCTATCTATCTATCTATCTATCTATCTATCTATCTATCTATCTATCTATGACTATCTATCATCTATCTATCTATCTATCTATCTATCTATCTATCTATCTATCTATCTATCTTATCTATCTATCTATCTATCTATCTATCTATCTATGAACCCTATCTATCCACTCTATCTATCTATCTATCTATCTATCTATCTATCTATCTATCTATCTATCTATCATCTATCTATCTTCTATCTATCTATCTATCTATCTATCTATCTATCTATCTATCTATCTATCTATCTATGAACCCTATCTATCTATCTATCTATCTATCTATCTATCTATCTATCTATCTATCTATCTATCTATCTATCATCTATGCACCCTATCTATCTATCTATCTATCTATCTATCTATCTATCTATCTATCTATCTATCTATCTATCACCCTATCTAGCTATCTATCTATCTATCTATCTATCTATCTATCTATCTATCTATCTATCTATCTATCTATTCAGTTATCTATATATTTCCATCTATTCAAGAAGAAATTGTGAATTTCTGTTGGGCAGAACCCCCTACAGAGTTTGTTTACCTTCCAAACCATCAAAATCAAGGTAAAACAAAGAGAATTCAGAAAGGATAATGATTCTTATCCTGCTGAAGATGCTCTTGTTGGAAATCCGGACGGCTGAGAAAACTCCCCGCAAAGGCTGTCCCTCCAAGAAGCCAATCCCTGAGCTGTTTCTGGGGTCTGGGGCCAGATCCTTCCACAGATAGGCAAGGAGAGAGATCTGGATGGGCGTTTGGTGGCATCATCCGAGTCAATCCTACCCAAAAAGGCAGTCACAGTATCAATGAAACCATGCATTCCCGACCATTTATTCGCCCCTTCCAGCCAACTATTTCCCAAAAGACATGGGATGGCAGCAGCCCGGAAATTGTGGAAACACAACTGGAAAAAGGCAACTTAGCAATCCGCCCGCTGCAAACAACAAATGCATTGGGTTGTTGTAGGTTTTTCGGGCTGTATGGCCATGTTCTAGAAGCATTCTCTCCTGATGTTTCGCCTGCATCTGTGGCAAACATCCTCAGAGGTTGTGAGGTTTGTTGGAAACTGGAAAATTGGGTTTATATATCTGTGGAAGGTCCAGTGTGGGAGAAAGAACTCTTGGAGCTAGGTGTGAATGTCACACATGCCACAGATGCAGGCAAAACGTCAGGAGTGAATGCTTCTAGAACATGGCCATACAGTCTGTAAAACACACAACAACCCTGAGAAACCCTGACCTCACAACCTCTGAGGATGCTAGCCATAGATAGGCGAAACGTCAGGAGAGATGCTTCAGAACATGGCCATACAGTATGAAAACACACAACAACCCTGAGAAACCCTGACCTCACAACCTCTGAGGATGCTTGCCACAGATGGAGGCGAAACGTCAGGAAGCAATGCTTCTGGAACGTGGCCATACAGTCTGTAAAACACACAACAACCCTGAGAAACCCTGACCTCACAACCTCTGAGGATGCTTGCCACAGATGGAGGATAAACGTCAGGAAGCAATGCTTCTGGAACGTAGCCATACAGTCTGTAAAACACACAACAACCCTGAGAAACCCTGACCTCGCAACCTCTGAGAGTGCTTGCTGCAGATGCAGGCTAAACGTCAGGAGAGAATGCTTCTAGAACATGGCCATACAGCCCGAAAAACCTTCAACAACAACCCAGTGATTCCAGCCATGAAAGCCTCCGACAATACATTGAACAAATGCATTGCAATGCAATGCAACGCAAGGCAGCCCACTCCCAGTTCCATCCTATCCGAGCGCAGAGACGAAACACCTCGCTATACTTGCATAAGCCGTAGAGTCCCGAGAGGAAGGGTGTGCCGACGAAGCACCCAAAGCCCAGCATAATATATACAGATCCATAAGAGACAAAGCTATATATACACTGAAGTAATGTGCTTGCGGATGCATTGCAACCTGTTCTCATCTTCCAAGCTGAAATAGAATTAGTGTGCTTGCGGATGCACCGCGACCGGATCTCATCTTCCAAGCTGAAATAGTGTGCTTGCGGATGCACCGCACACCCGTTCTCATCTTCCAAGCTGAAATCCTGAAAATGACGACGAGGAAATCAAAATAATGATTTCCTGTGATATATACACACCGAGACAGTGCAATTCCAGATCCACCACAACACCATTCTCATCTTCCAAATGGAAATTAATGGTAAAGAAATCAAAACAATGACCCTTTGCTGGACCTTTGCAACATACACATCGAGACCGCGCAATTCCATATCCGCCACAACACCGTTCCCATATTCCAAGCTGAAATTAATTTGCGAGGAAATCAAAATAATGACCCTTTGCTGGACCTTTGCAATATATACACATTGAGACGGTGCAATTCCAGATCCGCCACCACACCGTTCTCATCTTCCAAGCTGAAATTAATTGGCAAGGAAATCAAAATAATGACCTTTTGCTGGACCTTTGCAACATACACATCCAGACGGTGCAATTCCAGATCCGCCACAACCTGTTCTCATCTTCCAACATGAAATTGATGGTGAGGAAATCACAGCAATGACCCTTTGCTGGACCTTTGCAATATACACATTGAGACGGTTCATTCCAGATCCACCACCACACCGTTCCCAACTTCCAACATGAAATTAATGGTGAGAAAATCAAAACAATGACCCTTTGCTGGACCTTTGCAATATACACATCGAGACGGTGCAATTCCATATCCGCCACAACACCGTTCCCATCTTCCAAATGGAAATTAATGGTAAAGAAATCAAAACAATGACCCTTTGCTGGACCTTTGCAACACACAGATCCAGATGGTGCAATTCCAGATCCGCCACAACCTGTTCTCAACTTCCTCCTGAAATTGATGGTGAGGAAATCACAACAATGACCCTTGGCTGGACCTTTGCAATATACACATCGAGATGGTGCAACTCCAGATCCACCACCACACCGTTCTCATCTTCCAAGCTTAAATTAATGGTGAGAAAATCAAAACAATGACCCTTTGCTGGACCTTTGCAACATACACATCGAGACGGTGCAATTCCTGGTCCACCACAACACCGTTCCCATCTTCCAAGCTGAAATTAATTAGTGAGGAAATCAAAATAATGACCCTTGGCTGGACCTTTGCAATATACACATCGAGACCATGCAATTCCATATCTGCCACAACACCGTTCTCATCTTCCAAGCTGAAATTAATTGGCAAGGAAATCAAAATAATGACCCTTTGCTGGACCTTTGCAGTATACACATCGAGATGGTGCAATTCCAGATCCGCCACCACACCGTTCCCAACTTCCAAGCTGAAATTAATGGTGAGAAAATCAAAATAATGACCCTTGGCTGGACCTTTGCAATATACACATCGAGATGGTGCAATTCCAGATCCGCCACAACACCATTCCCATCTTCCAAGCTGAAATTAATGGTGAGGAAATCACAACAATGACCCTTTGCTGGACCTTTGCAATATACACATCCAGACGGTGCAATTCCAGTTCCGCCACAACTTGTTCTCATCTTCCAACATGAAATTGGTGAGGAAATCAGAACAATGACCCTTTGCTGGACCTTTCCAACATACACATCGAGACGGTGAAGTTCCAGATCTGCCACAACACCGTTCTCATCTTCCAAGCTGAAATTAATTGGCGAGGAAATCAAAATAATGACCCTTTGCTGGACCTTTGCAATATACACATCGAGAACGTGCAATTCCATATCCGCCACCACACCGTTCTCATCTTCCAAGCTGGAATTAATTGGCAAGGAAATCAAAATAATGACTCTTTGCTGGACCTTTGTAACATACACATCGAGACCGTGCAATTCCAGATCTGCCACCACACCGTTCCCATCTTCCAAGCTGAAATGAATTGGCGAGGAAATCAAAATAATGACCTTTGCAATATACACATCGAGATCGTGCAATTCCAGATCCGCCACCACACCGTTCCCATCTTCCAAGCTGAAATTAATTAGTGAGGAAATCAAAATAACGACCTTTTGCTGGACCTTTGCAACATACACATTGAGACCGTGCAATTCCATATCTGCCACAACCCCGTTCCCATCTTCCAAGTTGAAATCAAAATAACGACTGAGATCTTTCCCGAAGGAGCGGAAGATGGAGAGATGCCTTCCGGCACACAAAAGCTCACCTGCTCGCATCCCAACAAAGGCTTTTCCACGATGGACCGCATCCCCGCGCATCACGCGTGCCGACTTACCCCCAGCTTCCTGCTCTTCATCTTCACGTAGCCTTGTTTGACAATGTCGTTGAAATTCGTAGCCATGGCTCGGCCACAAGAGCCGGGATCCACCTCCGCCTCACCGCCTTCCTCTTTCCCCCTCTCTCTACGACAGCCTTTGATCTCTCTCTCTCTTCTTTCCTCCTCTCCTCCTTCACCTGTCTTCAGACTCTCCCTGCTCTCCTCTTCCTGAGCATCCTTCTCTGCGGAGGCTTGGATGCTGCGGCATTATCATCGGTGGCTTCCTCTTCTTTACTAGGGAAGGAAAACGGCACAGAGATTAGAGATGGTGACATCTTTCTTTTTCTCTCTCTCTCTCCTTCCACCCTTTTTTCCTCTCCCCCTCCTTCCTTCCTTATCCTCTTCACCACCCACCCTATTCCGGCGAAACCATTCGGAGGCATGGAAGGTGGATCTCCTCGCCAAAAGGCAAGGGAAGAATGGAACAACCCAGGCTTTTCCTCCTCCTACCTCTGAGGATGCTTGCCAAAGATGCAGGCGAAACGTCAGGAGAGAATGCCACTAGAACATGGCCATATAGCCCGAAAAAAAACTACAACCCAATTTCCTCCTCCCTTACAAATACACTTTTTCTATTCCTATCTCACCAGGGTTTTGACATTTTACTTTGTGCATTTGGCCCACCCTTTGTGTTTGATTTTTATTTATGTTATTTTGTGCTTTTTATTTTATTTTGTTACTTTATATATGTAATTTTTGTTGTTGTTTTGTGTCTAGCTTTGTTGTATTATTTTTGGGCTTGGCCTCATGTTAGCTGCCCCGAATCCCGAATTTGATGAGATGGTGGCGGAGTATAAAAAAGATTATTATTATTATTATTATTATTATTATTATTATTACTATTAGAAACACTTCCCAAGTGCCTAGAACTATTATTATTATTATTATTATTATTATTATTATTATTTGAAACACTTCCCAAGTGTCTAGGACTATTATTATTATTATTATTATTATTATTATTATTGTTTGAAACACTTCCCAAGTGTCTAGGACTATTATTATTATTATTATTATTATTATTATTATTATTATTGTTTGAAACACTTCCCAAATGTCTAGGTCTATTATTATTATTTTTATTATTATTAGAAACACTTCCCAAGTGCCTAGGACTATTATTATTATTATTATTATTATTATTATTATTATTATTATTTGAAACACTTCCCAAGTGCCTAGGACTATTATTATTATTATTATTATTATTATTATTATTATTATTATTTTGAAACACTTCCCAAGTGCCTAGGACTATTATTATTATTATTATTATTATTATTATTTGAAACACTTCCCAAGTGCCTAGAACTATTATTATTATTATTATTATTATTATTATTATTATTTGAAACACTTCCCAAGTGCCTAGGACTATTGTTATTATTATTATTATTATTATTATTATTATTATTATTATTTGAAACACTTCTCAAGTGTCTAGAACTATTATTATTATTATTATTATTATTATTATTATTATTTGAAACACTTCCCAAGTGCCTAGGACTATTATTATTATTATTATTATTATTATTATTATTATTTGAAACACTTCCCAAGTGCCTAGGACTATTATTATTATTATTATTATTATTATTATTATTATTTGAAACACTTCCCAAGTGCCTAGGACTATTATTATTATTATTATTATTATTATTATTTGAAACACTTCCCAAGTGCCTAGAACTATTATTTATTATTATTATTATTATTATTATTATTATTATTTGAAACACTTCCCAAGTGTCTAGGACTATTATTATTATTATTATTATTATTATTATTATTTGAAACACTTCCCAAGTGCCTAGGACTATTATTATTATTATTATTATTATTATTATTATTATTATTTGAAACACTTCCCAAGTGCCTAGGACTATTATTATTATTATTATTATTATTATTATTATTATTATTTGAAACACTTCCCAAGTGCCTAGGACTATTATTATTATTATTATTATTATTATTATTATTATTATTTGAAACACTTCCCAAGTGCCTAGAACTATTATTATTATTATTATTATTATTATTATTATTATTATTTGAAACACTTCCCAAGTGCCTAGGACTATTATTATTATTATTATTATTATTATTATTTGAAACACTTCCCAAGTGCCTAGAACTATTATTATTATTATTATTATTATTATTATTATTATTATTATTTGAAACACTTCCCAAGTGCCTAGGACTATTATTATTATTATTATTATTATTATTATTATTATTATTATTTGAAACACTTCCCAAGTGCCTAGGACTATTATTATTATTATTATTATTATTATTATTATTATTATTATTATTATTATTTGAAACACTTCCCAAGTGCCTAGAACTATTATTATTATTATTATTATTATTATTATTATTATTATTATTTGAAACACTTCCCAAGTGCCTAGGACTATTATTATTATTATTTATTATTATTATTATTATTATTATTTGAAACACTTCCCAAGTGCCTAGGACTATTATTATTATTATTATTATTATTATTATTATTATTTGAAACACTTCCCAAGTGCCTAGGACTATTATTATTATTATTATTATTATTATTATTATTATTTGAATTTGAAACACTTCCCAAGTGCCTAGGACTATTATTATTATTATTATTATTATTATTATTATTATTAGAAACACTTCCCAAGTGCCTAGGACTATTATTATTATTATTATTATTATTATTATTTGAAACACTTCCCAAGTGCCTAGAACTATTATTATTATTATTATTATTATTATTATTATTATTATTATTTGAAACACTTCCCAAGTGCCTAGGACTATTATTATTATTATTATTATTATTATTATTATTATTATTATTATTATTATTTGAAACACTTCCCATGACTGATTGCAATGATAAAGGGGTATTGTCTAATTCTGTCCTGCCAATTTGGTTGGTGATATTTAGGATTTTGAAAGGCAAAGATTTCATAACTCACGAGTCTTTAGACAACACTGTACATCAGCTTTTCTCAACTTTCCTAATCCTTTTTTGAGATAGAAAACTGGTCTCAGACCTGTTAGTGCCAAACTGCATCAATTCGACAGTGCAGATGCACCCTTACAAGTCTCCAGGCACCAGGTTGCTCATGGCATTCGAGAGAAGGGATGAACCACAGATGCTGGATCCATTGTTTTGGTTCTCTCACATTTTTGGGGAAGGGGATAAGGAGGTGAGGGGTGGGACACAGGTCCCCATGCCAACCTCTTCCCCTCCTCCACTCGTTACTCTGACAGTGTTAATTACCAAACCAGAGCTCCGGCTTCTTTAATGAGGAACAGATGAGCACAACCAGCTTGGCACACAGCGGAGGGGCAAGAACAAAAGCCGGAGTCACCGCTTCCACCAAATGCATCCTTAACTAGTTCGTCCTCATGAGCAAGAAGGAATACTGACAACATGTAACACGATTTTTGTTCCTGGGTTGTCACTTTCTATGATACACTTCCATTCCCATCAACAATGCAATGGTCCAATGTTTATTGCAATGCACTCCAATTCCCATGATACACTCCAATTCCCAACAACAGTGCAATGGTCCAATGCTTATTGCAATACACTCCCATCCCCAACAACAATGCAATGGTCCAATGTTTATTGCAATGCACTCCAATTCCCATGATACACTCCAGTTCCCAACAACAATGCAATGGTCCAATGTTTATTGCAATGCACTCTAATTCCCATGATACACTCCAGTTCCCAACAACAATGCAATGGTCCAATGTTTATTGCAATGCACTCCAATTCCCATGATACACTCCAATTGTCACGATACACTCCAATTCCCAGCAACAATGCAATGGTCTTTGTTTATTGCAATGCACTCCAATTCCCATGATACGCTCCCATCCCCATCAGCAACCCAATGGTCCAATGTTTATTGCAATGCACTCCAATTCCCATGATACACTCCCATCCCCAAGAACAATGCAATGGCCTGATTTTTATTGCAATGCACTCCAATTCCCATGATACACTCTCATCCCCAAAACAATGCAATGGTCCGATGCTTCTTGCAATGCACTCCAATTCCCATAATACACTCCCATCCCCAACAACAATGCAATGGTCCGATGTTTATTGAAATGCACTCCAATTGTCATGATACACTCCAATTGTCATGATACACTCCCACCCCCAACAACAATGCAATGCTCCAAGGTTTATTGCAATGCACTCCAATTCCCATGATACACTCCAATTCCCAACAACAATGCAATAGTCCAAGGTTTATTGCAATGCACTCCAATTCCCATGATACACTCCAATTCCCCGACAACAATGCAATGGTCTGATGTTTATTGAATGCACTCCAATTCCCATGATACACTCCCATCCCCAACAATGCAATGGTCCAATGCTTATTGCAATGCACTCCAATTCCCAGCAACAATGCAATAGTCCATGTTTATTGCAATGCACTCCAATTCCCATGATGCGCTCCCATCCCCATCAGCAACCCAATGGTCCGATGTTTATTGCAATACACTCCAATTCCCATGATACACTCCCATCCCCAACAACAATGCAATGGTCCGATGCTTATTGCAATGCACTCCAATTCCCATGATACACTCCAATTCCCAACAAATATGCAAAGGTCTGATGCTTATTACAATACACTCCAGTTCCCATGATACGCTTCCATCCCCAACAATAATGCAATGGTCCGATGCTTATTGCAATGCACTCCAATTCCCATGATACATTTCAATCCCCAATAACAACGCAATGGTCTGATGTTTGTTGCAATGCACTCCAATTCCCATGATCCACTCCCATCCCCAACAACAATGCAATGGTCCGATGCTTATTGCAATATACTCCAATTCCCATGATACACTTCCATCCCCAGCAACAATGCAATGGTCTGCAATCCACTCCAATTCCCATGATGCACTCCCATCCCCATCAACAATGCAATGGTCCGATATTTATTGCAATATACTCCAATTCCCATGATCCACTCCCATCCCCAACAACAATGCAATGGTCCGATGCTTATTGCAATGCACTCCAATTCCCATGATACACTCCAATTCCCAACAACAATGCAATAGTCAGATATTTATTGCAATGCATTCTACTGCCTGTTAGGAATTGTGGGAGTTGAATTCCAAAACACCTGGAGGGCCAAAGTTTGCCTATGCCAGGTATAGACTCATATAATGCAGGAGGGGACTAAAGAACC